TATTTCTTACCTAGCGAGACGGGCGCATTGACTCTGCGAGACGCAGAACGTGTTGCAAGCACAGGACTGGCTTCGCCTTCCTGGAACTAGATAACTCAAAAGAAAGTAAACGTTTCTTAATAACACATTAGAGAATGCACATATGATTATAGGATTAGTGTTATTCAGCTATTGCAAGGGCTATTATAAATTTATCAGCGGTGCTGATCTTGATCACACTACATTTTAACTCAAACATGTTCCAGACACGTTCGCAAAAAACGAAATTTCCGGTTTTAATCTCTTAAACCTATTTCATTTTTTCAATACTTGAAGCACAATCACTAACACCAAAACTGATCGAAATTTACGCCCGTCGGTGGTTGTTATGTGATGCATGATACTGATCACAACTGACGCTTCAATCATCTGTGTCTAGCAGTCAGTACCGTGTTGCAAAACGGATGTTGTAAAACAATGAAGATAAGAAGTCAAATAAGCGAAATCGTTTTGCTTCATTGTTCATTTTTTGTGCTCATTCCTTTGTTCTAATTGGTAAAGTGCTTAGGTTTGATTGTTTCAAAAGCATCTATTCAGTTTCGAGCGTAATGAAATGTTCCGTTCCAGTCAGGTTATGAAAAGACCAGAAGCATTCCGGGTTTTATGGGTATACAATTGTTCAGTTGATCGGTGGGAGAATTTCATTCCTTGCCTGCTCACCGCCGACCCCGAGCTGCTGCTTGTGTAACGACCTTGGCATTTGCCCTTCCGTTTGAGAGCGATACATGTTCATATCTCAATGGCCTTTCTGGTTCATGATAGTTGCCATTACCTCTGTTTTTCAGATTGTCAGTTTGCCCTCTCCACGGAGAACTTCCTGTTTGTCGACGACGGTTCCAGCCCACACCGAGATTCGGCCCACATCGAGTTGTCTGGTGTATTTGTTCACGGGTAAAATCCTGCCGCATACACTAGCTAAGCATCTCACACTTGCAACAAATACATGAAGCCCAACAAAGGGTGACGAGAATCGCAAATGGCTCAAGCAGACAGTGACAGTCACAACCTCCGGAAATTCTTCAGCACCATGAAAATACAGCTCGTTCAAGAAAGTATCCATTCCGCCGATACAGCCACAGTCCAAAAACGTACGTAATGCAAGCCGCAGAAATACGATAACAAAATCTGCGCTTCCGAGGCAGAATGAAACTGAATGTGCGAAACAGTAAATTGAAATGTAACTTATTACACGTGATTTACCGAGCTGGTGCTTTTTGAGTCACATATAATCGGGACACATTGCGTGACATTCCTCCAAGCAATTGTTTCCAGATCCTTTTCTTGTGGGGCTCACAATAATGGCTGATTCCAAAGCACGCATAGAAAGCCTCCTCAGCTACGTAGCAAACCGTTAACCGATTTGAGCTTGGTAACTGGAAGAACGTCGTAACCAAGGGGAAGTTCAACCAAATTGTTGACACACGTACCATCGCTTTGAACATATGGTAATAAGATCCACTTCACACAGGATGAAACAATATTAACTGCTCTACCTATGTCAATTCAAATGGTCCGTGGATGAATTTATCGAAAAACAGCTTTCTTCGCCTATTGCATTTTATTTTCAATATCACAGTGAATGTGTTCCATAAGCAGCAATACGTCTATCTCGATAAAGCGAAACGGTCCCTGATATCCAAGAAAAATAATGTTTGATAATCAAAAAATCTCGATGAAACTTTAAACGATCTTCAGCAAGTATTTTTAAAGAAGATGGGCAAGTGAACCATCCAGGAGTGAAATAAAATGACCCAAACTAGGACCCAACGAAGGTTTGTATCACTGAGTTACCAAGTCTTTCAACCTGAATTGTGTGAAATAAACTTGTTTGGATAAGGGAAAGCTTTATCATGCATTCAATGGGAAAACATACTTTTCACGTGTTACGCATGTAACTATATAATAACTACAGCACATCGTCTCAGTAAGATATGTCATTCCGCTGATCTCGTGTGACACAATCGACGTCTACAAATGACGCAAGGATCATTCTTCTGTTCTGACACGGATCAGGCGGGTACCTGAAGATGCACTGCCATGTGGGTGCGCTGTTTTACAGAAACAACGGTAGATATTTTCAATGCTGTTTACGTCGTGCATTACACATGGTTCAGGTGTTTAAACCAGTGTATCATCGTACAGCCCAAATAAGTGATGACACAAATGTAGTTATTTTTTCGGGCATCAACTCAATTTCTGTAATTAGATCGAACTCATACGACCTTCTACCACCACCCGATGTCTGTAATTCTCAAATAAATGAGGTTGTAAACCAGTCCAAACAAACTCAAAAGATGCAAATTGACGCACCAAATTTGTGTTGTCACTCTGGTGATTAACGTCTTCTGAATCGTAAATGATGTATCGACAAAAAAGAAATAATTATCAGATCTATTCATTGTGTTTGACGAGACGTGCAAGCTGTAGTTTATATTTAGTATCATTAAATATTCTTCAGAGTAATGATGCACCACAGGGTACTACTGGCAGCCCCTATTTCGGGCGGCCAATCTTTGTTTCCGTGAATGTCTGCAGCGCGAGTAGTTCCAAAGAGCGTCATACGCGAATAAAAGCAGTGTGAGTTGCCGACCGCTTTTATCCGCTGAAAATTCTTATTTATAATATATATATATATATATATATATGTTCACTACATTTCAAGTCGTGCTGTAATTTTGAACCAATCTGGTGATTAAATATGCGTAGGAATCATCCATTTGGTTCCAAACCGGATTTCGTTTGACACTGTTCACGTATAGCTGGGTCTGGTGTATTTTCAAATATCGTGTGGTCTTATGCGTCGGCATTTCATCCCTATATAACTTTGAAGGGACTATTTTTCTAATATTACATGATACCCATTATTGATGAGCTCTAATAAGAGCGAAACTCATGGCTATTGCATCTGAGTGAATGGTTGACTGGGACAATTGAGGATGATGCATGAAGGTGAAGTCCGAAGGTTAATCAGCACAAATCAATAAAAGATAATTATTATTACTAGGGAGTTTATGTGTACACTACTGTCATTTCATTCATTCTGCCGCGATGATACAGTGTATTGTTTTGTCCACACCCTTCCAGCTGATTCGCCGTGATTCCGTGCAAAACTGCGTGAAGAACTAACAATTCAGCGCCAGTGTCGTATGGGCTTTATCTCTTACCGTATAGAGTTCCCAATCGTGAAAGATTTTCTTCCGGTACTCACGTTTTTCGTGCCTACAGGAGTAGCTAGGAAAATATCCATATGTTATATTGAAACTGACGATAGGAGTGGGAAACTAAAAAGCTCTACTTTTTCCAATCAGTTCCTTTCGTCCCCATCCTCATATAAATCATTCTGATTAAGCCACAAACGGATCGAATCGGATCGGAATCGGAAAATATATATACGTCAAATAGAAGTAAAAAATCACAAAGCCGGAACAATGAGTGAAACTTTCCGATTGTTGAATAATGATATAAATCATGGTCAAACTAGATGATCCATGTGGCACTAGTTGACAGGAAACCAACCGGGTGGTCGCCTAAAGAGTCACTCTTTTTCATGTGAAGTTTGAGCTCACTACATGCGTTCTTACATGGGTCCCCTAGCTAGTACAGTCACTTGGCAGTTCGCTTTTATGCCACAAATTTCGTGGAAGATTTATGGAAGCCAAAATTTATTTTTACATTTCTCTCGAAAAGTTTTATTTTGCTCAGGCATTATTGTCTTCCAAAACTCCGGCTTGAGTAATTTATAATCAATGTAACTGAAACTGAAGTTAAAGCCCAACTAAATTGAATAAATTAAATTAAAATGATTCAACAGTATCACAACTATTCAATGAAAACATATTTATAACACCGCCGATTACGTAACGGATGATTACTGTCGCTAACTCGATTGATTCAAGTCGTCAAATTAGCAAAGTTCCAAAAACGTTGAAAGCTTCTAAACTTTAAATCCCTTATTAAACTCACCTGCTACATTCCGTTTTACGAGGTGGAAAGCTGAACATCTAAAAATCGAGAGTTTATGGTTTCTTCTAACAGTGGATAAGAATCTGTCTACTCTTTAGTGCAAGTCACGTTCACTGTTGTTAAACTGACTTCCATCCACCAAACTGGGGATTGAATGGACTTTCGTCTGACTAATGTTTATAAAAGTAACATCTTTATCTGGACACAATAAACACAACAATATGGAATAACGTGAGATATTTCAAAGTTGAGAATGAGCTGTTGAAACATACGAGCCTAACGAATAAACGCAGTTGGTATAGGATTTTTCTACCCCATGTGCTTAAGTCAGCCGATGAATGATTTTTTTGAAAGAAATTGTCGTATACGGAACATGGGATACTTTTTGTTCCATGGAACAATAACCACTGTGAAGCAGCAAAACTAATTCGTGATTATGACAAAGTGAATCGTCCTTCATGTGCCTTCCTGTCTTCATGTGTTCACCCAAATTTCCAACAGTTGCGAGATTCATCAAAACATTCGGTACTCATAAAGGTATACAAAACATTTTAGTTTCTTTGACTAATGGCGTTTCATCACCGATTTAGAAAACGAAGCATTTTCATGATACTTTTGTGCTCATTGCCAATAAGCAGCAAATCAAAAGATTTCGACGCAGCCCCGACAAACTTTGGTGCACAATGAGGCTGTCCAAAGGTAGCAGTTGTTTGATCGGTGCACTCTACCGCCCTCCTGCATCCTCAGGCTTAGCTAACGAGGCACTCTTGCAGACTACGAGAAATATTCTCTCGGTAAAGTTCACTCATGTTCTCATAATGAAAGACTTCAATTGTCCCAATTTGATAAAAAGCCAGAACTGTCACCACCCTTTTGAGCAAAACTTATCACAGTTTATAGACTCACATCCGATGTATAACCACGTGAAGGATCCCACCAGATTTGGAACAGGCCACTAACCGTCAACATTGGACTTGGTATTGACAAGCGAGGAGCTTATGGTCGAATGGGTCGAAATAGAGTCTCCATTAGGACATTACATTTACCACGCCTCAATAGAAATATGCCTGAAAACCAACACACGCACCGTTATTGACTACAATGAATTACTGAACCTTGCTACTGTCAAACAATGGGCACAACCAGAAGAGCTGATAGATCCACCGGAGTTCTGGAAAACATTCGTTGAAACAGAACTCACAACGATTGCCACAAAACCAAGCCTGTCGGTACGTTGCCTGCACGATTATCACCTTTCCGTAGTCGAACCAAGAAATGCATGTCACAGAGACATTTCTCCTGGCGAGAGTTCAGAAGATGTCTGACAGCCGACACTTGGGATAACTATATCATTTTGGGAAACCTTTGTGTAAAATTAGTGCGAGAGGATAAACGCAGGTTTCAAGAAACTCTGGCACAAATTTATTTCCAATCCAAAGCTACTGTATAGGCATATCAATGATACCAGAAAAGTGAGATATGGCATACCGGCACTAAGGCATGCAGTACGCGTTTCCACCATTACTGCTGAATCAGCCGAATTCCTAAAAGTCCAGTTCTACGAAGTTTTCACTGCAGGTAACAAAGAGGGATTACATCTTCCACACCTATCAAGTGTCCCATATCCCCAACTGACCACCGTCACGTTCAAATCTGCAACGGTTGAAAACAAACTATTAGCGCTGCGCCGGAATTCATCTCCAGTTGAAGACAACATCCGACCACAGACCGTGACATCTTTGGGAAATTACATATGTGAAATAATTGCCCATTTATACCAAAGAATGTTCGACAAGACGAAGATCCCTCAATCCTGGAAAAATGGCATCATTTCGTGTAGCTACAGAGGTGGTTGTAGAAGTGATCCTGAGAACTACGGTCCAATTACATTTCTTCCTGTTCTGTCAAAAGTAATGGAACGATTGTTGTTGATTCTCTGATGGATCATTTCGAGAAGCATAACATACTTTCGCCGGCCCAACACAGGTTTCCAAGGAAACGCTCGTGCACCGCAAACTTGCTACTTGCACGAGATGAATGGTCAAGATCAGTCGACGCAGGAGAGGCAGTAGACGTAGTTTACTTAGACTTCTTCAAAGCTTTTGACAGGGTTAACCACCATATATTGCTGCGAAAGCTCCATAATTACGGTGCCCGAGGTCTGCTACTGGACTGGATTGAGGAATTTCTTCGACAGCGTACCGTATCGGTTCGAGTTAGTGGTTCTCTGTCGGGACCGATTGAGGCTGTCCGTGGAGTTCCACAAGGATCCGTACTCGATCCGTACCTTTTCTTAGCATTCATAAACGACTTACCAGATGTCCTTGGAGAAAAGGCATTATTATTCGCCAAAACATGGAGGGCGGTAAAATATCCTGAAGATTATGAAACCTTGCAGGAAACTCTCGACACAGCTTATCGATGGTCCATCATTAATGACATCGAATTCAACGTTGAGAAATGCAAGGTTGTATCGCTGCACTACAGGGGGCGCTTTCCATACTTACTTGGAACTCAGTCATTGCCGCGTTCTTTAAACGAAAAGGACCTGGGAGTTATCGTTCATGAGGATCTAGTATGTTCCACACTGTGCGCAAGAGCATTTTCAAAGGCCATAAAACAAGTTGGATTGCTAAAACGTGTTTTTGGATCATTTGAAATAGACCTATTGCCTCGTTTATTATCAGCATACATTAGACCACACATTGCGTATGCCATACAGGCTTGGAATCCATGGTTGATTCGCGACCAAAAGGCACTTGAATTTCCGCAGAGAACAGCAAGCAAAATGGTCAAAGGGTTACAATCTAAGACCTACGGTGAAAGAATGCGAATTCTCGGACTTTATTCGTCTGAATACTGTCGAATACAGGGAGACATGATCCTCTTTTATTAAATACTACATCAACCTAACCACGCGTGTAGTAACTAACGCTATCCAGGAATAGTCACCTCCGAAGACATCCGTTTAAACTTTTACTCCAAAAGAGCCGGTTCTACTGCAGGCGTCATTCTTTCAGCCTCAGAGTTTGTAACACCTGGAGCTCTCTTCCAACTCAAGTTGTTTGTGCACTATCCATCGATTCATTCAAGTCACGACTGGATGAAGCATTGAACCACCTAACGATTCAGTACCCGTGATTGAATGTCAGAAGTTGCTGTTCAATTGTACTAGCAACCGAGCCCAGTGTGTACAGACCCTATGGGATTCCACAAGCTATCAGATTTGTATTTTACTCATCATAAAAATTTTATTTGGAATTTGATAAACGTGCTCATTTAAAAGAACTTCCATCTGCAGCCGTAACATCAGGTCCCACTTGTAATCGTTGTTAAACCTAAGCTCCGGAGACATGTTATTGTTTAATACCATGTGCAATACTGCACGATTTATGTCCAGGACAATTTCGCTGCATCTCAACATAGTGCACACTGCAGAAAATACAATGTTTTTATAGGGTTTTATCATGAAACCAAAGTAAAGCAAAATACATTAAAACAGACAAAACATGAAAAAAGAGGGAGGGGTAAAAGGGTCATGTCACCAGGGTGGGGATTGACTAACATAAAGTTCTTTTTGCTGACACAGGAGGGCTTCCATCGATTAATAGCAATCGCTTCAGGAAACCTTAACAATCTTGCGACTCGTGTCTTGCAGACGATCCGAAACGCTGTGTTTCGGTCGATCTGGTATTGCGTCATCAGCAGATGTGCAGCAATGGCTGCGAACGTGGTCTTGTAATTTCGACCGTCGTTTTTATTCAGCGAACATGACCTCGATTGGGTCATCTGATTTTGGACCCATTTTGAACCCATTGAACCACCTAACGATTCAGTACCCGTGATTGAATGTCAGAAGTTGCTATTCAATTGTACTAGCAACCTAACCCAGTGTGCACAGACCCTATGGGGTTAGATCAGCATCAGCTTTGTGATTTATGCATAATAAAAATTTGAATTTGTGATAAACAACAGACGAGGTAAACCCCATGGGTATGAGAGCCTGCTGTTCATTGATGGAAACCGGTTACGTAAGCCCCGGGACTTGGAGTGGCGAACCACATACGGCCCCGATAAGTCCTGCGTGGTATTGAATCGGACAACAGCAAAGGTGTCTTTAAAACTGTGTTTATGGTTGAGCCTGGAATAGAATGCATCTCTAACCTTTACTAGTTGACTTATTTCGGGGTTGATGGGGTTCTGTTAACGCACCAGACGTAAGTTGTCATATATGGTTTCTACTTTTTTTCGTAACAATGCTTTTGTTCACATCCCGGATACAGTTGCTCGTTTCGATTTTTTTTCACAGGCCCATTTCACTTATGGCGAGCTTGCCTGTGCTCTTCGGTTAGATGCGCTCACAAACTCTCACCCAATCGAGGTAAGCCCCCTGATTGTTCTTCTGCGCCAGCTCACTCCTGTTCTCACTTGTGCTCTCTGCGACTGCGCATCGATTGCGATGCTTTATTTTTTCCCCCTTTCTGTCATTTCCACCTTTGTTTTTACTCGCGTCTCATCTGGCCTAGCTTGGTTCGTTTCACACACTTGTGCCAAATCTACATTGTTCCACTCTTGTCGCGTGTAGGTAAGCACACTCTATGCCCTGTGCATGGTGACCATCAGGAGTGTATGCGGAACGAGAGACCTATATTGTCTTGTGACTCACTAAACTTGACGAGGTAATTTGTCAGCACCTCAGGTCAGATATCGCTGCATGAATTCCTGTTGAAGATTGCTTGTGTAGGGGTGGGAGGAGGTGGGATTGATGACACCGGCGTTTCAGTTTCAGTTTCAACAACCATTAACCATGGGAGCTGGTGAACAGGACAAGGGTGCCGTTATTCTCAAATGTTAACACATAATTCTCTCTGTAAAACAAACATCAATAGATTGTTCACCCTTGAGGGATGATCGTACAGCATTCTTCTACCGCAAAAATGACTGCTGTGGATTTATTAGTGCCGACGGAGTTTGCGACAAGACACGTTAGCTCGATGGTCAGCTCACAACAGCGCCATGTTCGTGTGTTTGTTAGGCGTCACGTTTTCTGATTGCTAACAGTATTGGCGTTCTTGTCGCCATTTCTTATTAGATCAGAATGCTTGAAAAGTTATATATACATAGTGTGGGCTACGGTGAAGTATGACGTACCATTAAATCGTAGGCATCCATTTGGAAAACCCTCTTTCTCATCTGTGTGAAACAATGCATAGTTAGATTGTGTATTCTGTGTTGACCATAGAGGTGCACTTTTTTTTACCTCTTTCCAGTTTGATTTCATCATTGCCCATCTTGTACTTTCTCTCTTTGTTTACATCGTGAGCTTGATAGCGGTCAGTGAGGTTCGCTTCACTATATCTCGTTGTACGATGATGATAATGAAACTGATTTCTTCAGTAGATCATCTTTCACCACTGTGCTGCCGATTTTACTAGCTCCAAAATATAGACTGATTGCATCCAATTTTATAATGCTATTCGAATCTTTGCACAATATAGGTAATTGGACTGCTTTTCACGTGATGTTTGCAATGCCTTACCGTTCACCACTCTTGAGTCAATATCGCGTTGTTAAAAATTGTAAAATCACCCATGATGTGCACAAATAATTTGCACCAGCCTCAGTTCCCGTATCAGTCACTTGCACACTGTTTTGGTTGTTGTCGCTTGCTAACTTTGGCGGTCTACCAAGGAAGTTTTGGACTTGTCGTGACTTCCGGTCAGTGCCTAAGGAACTTGAATAATTTACCACTTGAATCATTTGGCACGCGTTTGACTCGTGCGATTAGCCTTCTGATTTTCATGATCACGTCAATCGTAACGTTGCATTCAGATCATTCGTTTGGTGCCAAAACTACTGAACTAGATTCCTGAAATGCTGTTGTGGTCGTGCATGATAAAGATGTTGCTTCACATGGAGTTGTGTGTGTGTGTCTGTCGGTCTGTTTACTGAACTCTGGATCAGTATAACATCTATTTGGTTTCAGCGATGCTTTCTAGGGGCTGGATGCTACTACCATATCTAATCTGTATCTCCATTTGTAACGTTTTTTACCTTGCTTGCTTTGTGTGTGTGAACTTGGAACCGATCAGCGAAGTTCACTTCACAGTATCTCGTACGATGAAGATGATGTTGATAATGATTGTTGTGTGAGCTAGACTAAGGCTAACCGTAGCTTCCGGTTGCGAATCGCCAAGAAAGTCACTCTCTTTGGTTTGAACAACTTGCGGTCTGAACCCGTAAACGTGATAAAGATAGAACGTTGAGGTCAAGCAATGAGTTGTCGCGGAGAGATGAGGAAGCTAACGGAATGTTTTTTCACACAGATTTTCGGTTACCCGGAGTTGGAACAGTAAGGATGGCAACGACAAACTATTGTTATTGAAATTGACAAATAGAAACCAGTAGAGGTATAATTTGCCTTTTGGTTTCCATTTCTGTCGGAAACTACAAAAAAGACCAAAAATAAAATGTGCACACGAGACGAAAACATAAAATTCTCTACTCGTTTTGTTTTCCTTTGTTCTCGTCGGTTTTCTCGAACGTATCACTGCCCTTGTTTTAAATCAGACTTATGTGAAAATGCATAAACTGAACATGCACAACTTTTTGTAGAATGTTTCCAGTTCTCTAAGTAGTTATTTTCTGTACCAGTCATCTACAGTTCAATCTTTCCGAAAATTCCGGATCGACAGGCCATTGCGATGGTCACAGTGTTCGACTGTGACCATGGAACAACAGATCAGAGCTATTCACATTCTTTTCCTTTCTCATTTGGTTCATTTTCTTTTTCATCAGGTCGAAGTCTCATCACCGGATGAAATCGATGAAATTTTTGATACGATATCCTATTGCAAAGGATCTAGTTTAATCCACATGGTTCACGCATTCCTTGGGGACAAAGCGTTCCGCGAAGGATTATGCACCTATCTGGCTAAGCATGCTTATGCGAATGCGACCACGGAAGATCTTTGGATCGCACTGGGTGCCTCTTCGAGGGTTGACGTGGCCTCAATCATGCGCCCGTGGACGCGAACTGCAGGCTTCCCGGTGGTGACGGTTCAACCCCAATCGATTCAAGATGGACGTTTACTAGTTAGCTTGAAGCAACAACAATACCGACTGCCTTCATCCGATTCCAGCTGTGAGTGAGAAACCTGCTTCCATGGTTTCCTAACCCCGTTTTGTAAAAATATTGTTCTTGTCGCTTGACGCACGCGCGCTATGAGGGGTACCGGCAAAGATCAAAACCGCCTTTTAATATCTACGAGTCCTAACCCCGGAGGCTAGTGCCGAGGTACGACGTCTGCATTAAGCTCGATACAGGTTGCGTTGTATCGTGTGTAGGTAAAAGGACATGTGGTCTGATCAACTGCCCGATGGCCTGGCAGATAGTATGCTTGAATTCCACCTGTGAGGTTCCGGGTTCGATTCCAGGTTGGTTCGATGGATTTGCACTGCTGATAAAACCCAACCAAGTCGAGATAGGCGTATGGTGCTTCCTAGCTCTTCACTTCTGGTGTTATTTGCTCTGTACACGGCAAAATCCATCAAATGAACAAATTAAATTTTCCGTCACTCGCAGGCTATCTTCAAAGCTTTCAGAGTAGCATGTAACGTCTTATGTGAAATTTGTTGAGAGGATTCCCACAGATCCTAACCACCCATTGCACGCAGAACTGAAACGATGTCGTTCCCACCATTCGACACCTTCCCAATTCCGCCAAATTTCATCTCGAATTAACGCTTACCGCAATCGAACTATACCGTATCTTGCTCGTGTACTCTTAAACGGAGAGCGGGCAATAAGTAAACTTTGTTTTAACCTTGAATTATGAAATATCCTCATATCTGAAATTTTTTTCATAGTTTGCTATGTACATTGTGACGGTAAGCGTGTATGATTTTTTTAAACTGAAATGTGAGCTCCAGTGCTTGCAAAAGTTATACACAATACAATACAATGCAGTACAATACTCTATTTTTGTCTGAGGCGGTTTTCTTTAGTAATGGATAGCACTTCTAATGATGAAGCAGTTTCCCACGCCTTTTTCGTCCGGCAAGTGACAGAGGTAAAGACTCGATGCCAACACTTATCCCAGCCGTTTGAGTACTGTTTCATGATTACCTAATGCGTCCTGTTCAATCTTCATGTAACAGAGGTTTGTGAAACTACTCACAAGTCCCTTCAACACTTGTTCATTGACAAGATCCTAAGGGATCACTGCCACAAGTAGGGATTCGCAAACTGTAAGGAGATGGAGATTGTACCTATGGCAACAGTTGCATTATCCCGGTTCATATCTGACTTTGGTGAATTGTATCACTGTTCGATCTACTAGTCGTTTTAGGGTTTGATATTTTCAGTGTGAACCTTGAACCAGCAAACCCCCTATGGTCGCTTCAGAATAAGCGCGTATTTCGGCTGGGTGAAAACTGTCCACTACATTGAAGTAATGACTGTATCTCGAATGGTCATTGTAGCACCAGAAGTGAGTTAACCCTCTAATCGCTTGAACCTACTGTTCATTCGTGTTGTCCAGCATTCTAAGCCCTAAAACTTTCAGTGGTGAACTTTGCTATCTAATGAGCCGTACGACAGCGAAACTCTTAACCACTAAATTTGCATGATGTAGCAGGCTTTGAACTCGGACCTCAAAATATAAAGCAAGCCTGTGACATCGAGCAAAACTGCTTTAGATTTGTAACGATTCGTTAAATAGTGATGAAATTGACCGAAGTTTCGTTACTTTCTCCCATGGGATGCCCATTTCCAGCTACTTCGGATGCACAGCTTTGGCCGGTTCCCGTTGTTTTTGTCTGCTCGTCCGAGGACAACAAACATCACATAACGCACAAACACGTTCTGCACATGGCCGAGGAAGTTGTTCAAATCCCATTGACTTGGCCGGCCAGCAGTTTGAACGAGTGTCTTGTACGTATCAACACCGATGCGACCGGATTCTATCACGTACGGTATGCGGAAGATCAACTGTCCCGACTTATAACACACATGAAGTCAACCAAATGGTCTACCGCGAGTCGATTCGCTTTCATTAACGACGGATTTGCATTGGTAAGTGGCCGTTTTTATCTACTCGTAGTCAATGTCACTTCGCATCACTAGAGTGCAACACCGGTGTCTCTGATATCCGAAGATTCCAAAGATTTGTGTAGCTTAGGGATAAGCTTTTGCCCTGTGCACCCTGAAAGCTCACAGTTTCAGAGCTATGGAATAACAACAAGTACGCGTTGGTGATTTCACTCAGAAGGGATCTTTTTTGTCATTGACTACCTTGTGTGTATCTTCCAGCGAAAACGGTAGTCGTGGATACGCCGCCGTACATAGCTGCTCTGTCTTCAGCAGGACGTTTTGTCGCTTGAAAAGTTGTATCACTGAACTGTCACAAAGCCCTTTATTTATTTGGAGATTCATGGGCCGGACAAGTGTTCGTTCGAAATGACTTCATTTGCACTTCCCAATACCATTCCTTACATTCCTCAACATACGACGAAAGGGTCTGCTATTTGTTAGCACGTAACAAATGTACAACCATCATACAAAAGGCTAAAGAGCACTTTGTTGAGCGCAAAGCAGCACAGTTGGCGACCGCCCCTTCCGGAAGCCGGATGTTCTGGTCAATCGCTAAGGCAGTCTCCCGTAACTTCTGTTCCACTAAATTCCCACTCATTGTTAAGTCATCCGGTGACTTAGCATCCGACCCGTTGGGAAAAGTCGAGGTGTTTGCTTCCCATTTTACTTCCAATTCTACCCTTTTCGAATCACCGATACAACTCTGCACACACCCTACGGCAAACCATCTTTTCACACCGTTCATTTCTATCAGAAAAACATGTCAGATCCTCTCATCGTTGGCCCACACAAGCCACCTGGACCCGACGGGATTCCTCGCATTGTCCTCAAAATGTGCGCCCCAGAACTGGCTCCCCTCCTACGTCGCTTATTCCGTCTATCTCTAAATTCCGAGATATTCTCGACCTCATGGAAAATATGAGAAATATTTCCAATCCCCAAACACGGCGAATACTTTGACCCAAACAACTACCGCCTCTGTCTCACATCAGTCATTTCGAATCAGTAGTTGCTGATCAACTCCGCCACCACCTGGAACAGAATAATATGCTTAGCGATCGTCAGTACGGTTTCCGATCACATCGATTTATCGGTGATCTTGTGGCGCTCATTTCGTATACATGTTCAGCGGCACTCGACAACCATGGAGAAATCCATGCGGTGTCATTGAATAGATCGAAAGCTTTCGATTGTGTCTGGCACGTCGGCTTGCTGGCTAAACTACCCAAGTTTGGCTTTCCTTCGGAACTTGTGTCCTGGACAGCAAGCTATCTCAAGGACCGCAGCATCTCCGTCAGAGTAGATGGGACCATGTCTCGTCCCGTGCCTGTGAATGCTGGTGCTCCCCAAGGTTCTGTACTTTCCCTTTTTCTGATGTTTATTGATGACCGTATTTCTTCAACATCAAATCCTATTCACGCCTTTACCGATGACGCTACCCTACACTCTCCTCTGTCATATTTCTCTTCGCACATGACTAACTTCCGCATTAGTGACGACCACTCCTCCCTTAGTTTCTCCCTAAATTCTGNGACCGCAGCATCTCCGTCAGAATAGATGGGACCATATCTCGTTTCGTGCCTGTGAATGCTGGTGTTCCCCAAGGTTCTCTACTTTCCCTTTTCCTTTTTCTGATATCTAATGATCATCTTCTTTCTTCAACTTCAAATCCTATTCACACCTTTGCCGATGACGCTACTCTAGACTCTTCTCTGTCATATTCCTCTTCGCGCTTCGCTGACTCCAGTATCAGTGACGACCGCTCCTCCCTTAGTTTCTCCCTAAATTCCGATCTGGGTTTTATCTCTGCTTGGGGCTGTAGTAATCGTGTTCTGTTCAATGACAGTAAATCCTCCCGTATGTCCATTTCTCTTAAACACACATCTTTTTCCCCTTCCTTGAATTTCATCTCTAACACTCCGTTCCACAGAATCGTACAACCTATTGGGTCTTTCCTTATCTTCTTTTCTTTCATGGTCACCTTATATTTATCTACTTGTTTCCCGCGCTGCACGCAACATTGGTTTCCTCTTCCGCGCCAGACGTTTCTTCACCCCCATTCACCTCATCTCGCTTTACAAAACTCAGATTCGCCCTACACTTGAATACTGCAGTCATGTTAGGAGTGGAGCTTCGTCTACCTCAATATCTCTTGATCGGGTTCCACGTAAGGCCATCCGTCTCTAACGTCCAACTTGGAGTCCCTAGCTCACCGTCGGGCAGTCGCTTCTTTATCCTCGTTCTATCGATACTACTTTGGATTTTGCTCCGATGAACTTTCCTCATCTGTCCCTCTCCCACCTGTTCTTCCTCGTAGATCCCACGCACAAGCGGCTAGCCACCCATTTCAAGTGACTATCCCCAGTTGTCGCATTTTTAACTTTCAATCATCTTTTTTCCAAGAATAGCACAACTGTGGAACACTTCCCCTTTCGGTCTTCCCTCCAACGTACAACATCCATGTTTTTAAACGCAGAATCAACAAGCTGGTTCTAGCTTGAATGTTCCCCATACCTTCCCACTTACAGTATATCTTCGGATCATGGGTTTTACCGCTTTTATTGTATTCACTTTCGTGTAATAAAAAAATCATTCCCCCATATTCCGCATGTTTACTTATGTGTTCTAAACGCACATTGATTTCCAAAAGGATGTACAAACTCAATTTAGGGGTCAAAATTGAAACGAGCAGATGTTTAATAAATTTGCTATATATACATATATCTTACACGAAAGCAAGGCATTTGATTTTTTTTTCTCGTCAAACAAAACACCGTAACCAAAAAGCAGTACTTCTTTCGGATACAAACTTATCGAAAGACAAAACTGGGTTTCGGTGAGGTTGCTCCTGACTACTCATGAGTAGGATTAATCTTTTGTATAACATTCAGCAATACGGTACAGCGAAACACGGTTATGGGAAGTCGTTGAACGCTACCCAGTTCACCAGTAGTGCAAAGTAAATCAACAGATATAGGGATATGGACTGTGGATGTGATGCAGAAGGTGGATGAAAATGAAGTGGATCACTATGCTGAACCCGGTACACAACCCAACTGTACATACTTCGTCAAATATGGTCACTTAATAAAATCTTGATATGGTAACAACAAACGCCACTGCTATCAGTTCGGCACAACGCCCTTGAATGTTTCAAACTAGACAGTTACATGCTCCTTAGAATTCCATACACCGACGCTTCCGTTCACACGAGGCTAGCAGTTTTTGTCCCAGAGTCTGTCACGCCTAAAGTTAATGATACAGATTATAAAATCAAACTTTCATTTCACTCATTTGCGTTCTTTTCCAGGCCAAAGCCGGAATGATCAGTATCTCCCACTGGCTTTCGCTTCTGCCCAAACTTATGGAAGGCGAGGAGTCTTATTCTATTTGGCGATGCGTACTTGTGGACGGTCTGGCAACGTACGTTCGACGCATTGTTCACGAGAGTGATATCCCCGATAAGCTGTATCACCAATTCTTGCGCAAAATTGCCGTTCCGGTTCTTGATAAACTTGGTAAGTCACTTGTTCTGCGAATTCGTGAGTTTCGCTCGTCCGTTCTGTCACATGCAGCCGTTGGATTTGTTGGTTCGTTGTATGACCGTGTACAGTCGGCAAAGGAGCATGGTTATAGCGTGTTCGATGGTCTGTCTGTGGTTAGGAGACCAAATTTCGACCCATGAGGTAATAACAAGAACACGTATCTAATAGAAATGCATCAGTCGCTTTTTCTGTTTCCCCGATTTGCTTATTTTCCCGGGTCTCGTGCAATAGTTTCCGATGCACCTCTTTCTACTGCATCATTGTTGTCTTCCGTTGAGCCTGTTCGCGTGTTAGAATACACACACACACACACACACACACACACACACATATATATATATATATATATATATATATATATATGTACAATTTATGCAAGGTGCACTTGACAAACTAGTAAGTTATTTTGCCCAGTTCGGCATGCTTTTTGCACCTTCAAAGTCCAAAGCGATGCTGCAAGACTGAGTGTGGCTGTGTTCCGTTCTGAAACTAGGTAGTGAGGAATTAACTTCCCATACTTTATAGTTGCGTGACGAAAAACGGTAACGCATCAAAGGAGATGGTCGGCCGCATTTCCAAGGGTCGAGCGGTGTACACGGGACTAAAACACCTGTGGCGACAACGTGAGTTTTCATGAAACTTGAAAATTCCCGTATACTGCGCCATTGTATGATCAGTTGTGCTTTACGGGAGGCAAACATCCGTCGCCTAGTGGTTTTCAACAATCGATGATTACGTATTCTGGTCCAGGGAGACGGATTGAGCGGCTTAGTAATCTAGAAGTAAGTCTTCTGGTGTTTGGGAATGCATCGAATACGAAATCGCTGTCGCATCAAATTCAGCTCAATAGGCTCCGTTGGTTAGGATACGTTTTGGTTATGCCTAAACGTCGCCCGTCGCAGCGCCCCTTATTTGCAGTGGCTGATGCAGACTGGAGAAAGCCACGTGGAGACGAGGCATGAAGAATTGCACGGGGCGATTAGGTAGAGTAAATGTCTCTCGTCTTCCGGGTTTGGGTCCAACAGACTCTGTAACCGCATGATTGGAGATACTGAAGGTCGTGGCAGCGAACCGACAGCATTGGCGATCTTGCTGTCATTTCTTATCAGAACCGAGTGCTTGAAATATTATGTGTGCACAATCGGACTATGTACTCTATGAGTTGACCGTAGAGGTTCGCTTTCTTTTCCCGTCCTTAAAAGTAGGCCCAATCCCTATAGTCCTTACACATTCTCATTTACCTTGTATGCATTATGAGTTTGGCAGCGATCAGTGAAGCTACTGTATTGCGCTGTACGATGATTATGATAATGAAGTAGGGGTTAAAATTTCATGTGAAGGTGAGACTTGACGAAGTGCATAAAGCTATTACTTAAAGTGGGTGTCTCTCGCCTTCCAGGCAAGAGTCCACTAGTCCACCAGTAACTGCTTGGTTGAGGACAATGAAGGGCATGGCAACGAACGGACAGTCAGAGTGGTATAAGAGGTATGTTTACCTGGTTAGACTGTGTACTCTGTTTTGACTAGAGAGTTTGGCATTCCTTTCTGTTCCATCAAAACAGACTCACATTTCATGCACCGTACACATTTGAACTTAATTTGTGTCTATTTTGATTTGGATAACTAATGAGTTTTTCTTCATTGTGCTTCTCTGTACAGCGATGATGATAATCACGACGTAGACTGCATTTTCCCTCTACAACTTCATCCAATCGGGTAGTGAATACCGCTGCGCGAAACTGTAAGGCTTTATGAACTAAATTGAACGTAAGGACTCAGAAAGTGAACCCGTCCACATTGTGGTCAATTTTTTTTGCCGAGAGTATACTCATCGTTATGAACAGTGAAGAATATCTGACTAATACCAAAGAAGCCAGATAGTTTGTACTAGTGCTTTCTGAGCAAAACATGAGGGGTGAGGTTCTCCGTCTTGTTCAATCTGGCTTCGGTACTCGCTAGCAGCTTCGTATTCTGATTTCCTAGTCACGCTTTGAATAACCTGATCCGACCAACTTGATGCCCTGTTGACAGAAGATGCTTCCCGATAGCTGATGCTGGGTTTATTTCTGATATTTTCCGTGTGCAATCAAAAGCCACTTTGGGATATTTGTGGCTAATTCTCAAGCCAAGTATCTTTGTGTTCTGCCCATGTATGTGCCACCAAAGCTTTTTTTATCATACTAATTTTGTGTGGTAAATAACAGACCGGGGGGGGGGGGAACCCCATGGTCACGACAACCTGCTGTTCAGTGATGAAAACTGTTCAGTTAAGCCCCGGGAGTTGGAGTGGCTAGCCACATACTGTCCCAATAAGTCAGGCCTGGTGTTGAACCGTACGACAGCACGGTTGCCTACCACCAACGTTGGGTGGCGGTTGTCGGACTCGAACCTCGGACCATAAGGTCCAAAGGACGCCGGTGACATCAGTAAGACTGCAGGAACGAGATTGTAATATCAGTCGTGGTTTACATAATACAGATTTATGCTCTTGTATATTTTCAGCTTGAAGGGAGGTTTTATTACGGGTTGAGTTCAAAAATACGGCCAACTTGAACAAGTAACGGATTCGGTTCTTGGCCATCATCAATGTGGGTTAGTTTTTTGCTTTGGTTTCTGGTAATGCTTAAATAAATTAAAAAGGGGTCATCTCGATAAATTCTAGTCGATTTTGCAGTCAACGAAATGCATTCACCTGGCGATATTTGTCCATTTATGAATCACGAATTACTTGCCTGCTCCTGTAATTTGTCACGTCTGGGTCTGTGTTTCATTTTCGTATTAATCATCAGAGAGATCGTTTGCATTCCCCTTTTTTGTCCAACAAAATGTAATGCTCACAATATTCGATTTTCAGACTTTTTTGCCGACAAACAGTCCACGCCCTCAATTGCACTGACACATGATACTCATTTGCTGCGTTCGCTGCTCATTTCGACTGTGGGCGCGGAAGCTGGCGATCCGAATGTGATCGCAGAGGCCAATCGACGCTATACCGCGCACAAATCGGGGGAAGCTGTACTACCATCTGATCTACGGGCGGCGGTCTACTCGACCGTTGTTAGACATGGCCCATCTGAAGTGGTTGAAGAACTAATGCAGGTGAATTATTTCCCATTCTCATACTTGTCATTTACATTTCTTTAAATTCCAATTTTCCATGGACACTAAATTCACACCTACGGATATCCGATTACCCACCTCTGACGCGTAAACTCGAAACCATATTCCTCGGATTTTTAAGCTAAATTGCAGCCCGCGGAACTTTGCTGGTACCCGTTCAAGATAAACACACCACATATTGTTTAGTTTTCTTAATCATTACGCGTATATGTTTGATAACCTAAGGAACTCTCGAAGTCTGCCAGTAATCACTGTCTATCAGTCGACAGAAACCAGTCCATTTGATCAATGGTCATTTGTCTTTGTCCCCTGACAACTAGTCCCCGTATCCAAACGGTGATTCCAGCGTCTCACAGGCTTCATGTGCGCAATATTGGTTCACGAAATCCACCACAGCTTCCCAGCTCTCCAAATTCTTATGCTCAGTCAAAATCAACTAGCACCAATCATGTCTAAGGTCATTCTGATGTCCTTGTGCGGTCGGGGGGATTGTGTGCTACTATTTCCATCTCCGATCCCCGGTGGATTCATGAATTGTGTTGCCAACGCCCAGTTGTTGCTATCAGATATATGAATTTTCTTCAACTACGTAAATGACTAGAGTGGACATTAGTAGCAGACTATCTTTGTTCGAATACCACTGTCTATAATTCTTTGCACTGGACAAGTAATACTGATGTTTGGCATAGGGTTTTAAGTAATCGCAGCTGTATACTGACTTCTGTCCGTAACCTCCATGAATCTAATGGCTGTTACGTGTTTTACGTATGCAACCGAATTGGCTTTCTTGGCTTGCAATGTTGACCGAGGTGGGTCTACCCACACTATACCCTGTCATGAAGGCTTGGAAATCCTTACCAAGCGACTCCAACATTTGAGTCGCATTAGAATTCCTGCTTGGGAACCTGTTAACCAGTCTGATCCGTACGGACTGATATTGGGTGATATGTCTGGTCATCGCTAAACGTTTGCGCTCGTGCATCTATTCACTCTCCACTCACTTCTGATTTGCTTCCTTAGTGTATCCCTTTTTATTTAGTGCACTCGGCGCTTTCGTTTATCCAGTTGCATACAACGAAGTCTCTGTGATGCCCTTGAAAGAACATCGGAAATCTGTTTCATCCTATTCGGGCTTCGTCAACAGTGCGTACTACTGCCTATCCCTGTTTGGACGCAAACCACGAACAGGTCGGGTTGCGAGTCAAAATCCCTGAGCTTCATGGCCGACGGGCAAATCCCTAAGCGGACGGTTTCATTCATTTGGAAATATCATGTTTCGTCTAGCCTCTTCGGTTATTCTTTTTTTATTTCACACCTAGGTGTGATGAACAGCAGACGGGGGATTTTTGATGCATTTACATGCATTTAACTAGTGAGGATTTAACGATCTCCCTCTCATACACAAAACATCCAAAACTGCTTGAGGCCTGTGAGTACGTGAATGGGCTAAATTAAGCATGCTATTCCGAACTTCCATTTATTCATTCATGTCTCATTGATGGACCAAATGGGCACTCGGAAGGCAGAAACTAAGGCGACCACATGACGATTACTGTGAGCAATGATAGTGGCGTTGGTGGTGCTGCAAACGAAAACTTTACACCTGTCAATGCGATGACAGTCTGAAATTCAGGTTGACTGACTCATCTGATTAGATGATCGCAGTGTCCCTATTTCTGCGTGGGGACTAATGAAACAAAATGACTGTTTTCAGGAAAAAATTAGTACGCTGATCCCGGTGGTAATGTCACCAAATTATCACCTCGGGGAACATGTGTTCGAATCCCACCACCACTGCCTGACTTTTCCAACGGCAGCCCTTTGATTGGCCGCGTCCCCCTTCCTGAAAATTATATCACTTTGTATTCAATAAAAGGAAGTAAAATGAAAAAAGTGTGAGAGAGTACTGCGCTAAGAGAACCACACAATCATCATCTGGCTACTAATATGAATATCTCTTATCAAAACATTTTTGTCACACTTGCTCTTGTTGAGGTACGCATTTCATTTTGCCCATCTGCAGGCTTACCGTGCAGCTAAGTGTCCTGAGGAACGCGCTGATATCCTCTCCGCATTGGGTGGAGCTCATGTGACTCGTCCGTATACTTCAGCGTCTGGAGGTGTGGGCGACCTCACTGGCACTGGCGCGCGGTCCCAACTGGAACAAGTGCTCGCTTTCTGTCTCGATCCAAAAGGCCCCGTCCGAGATCAGGATCGAATCCATGGACTTTCTGTATGCGCCTCGTGGTCCGCTCCGGCTCGGCAGACCACATGGAAAACTATAAAGTCCGACTGGCCTCGGCTATCCGATGTGTACCACGGCCAGTTCCTTTTGGCGCACTTGATCAAAGTAATTTATGTACTTTTCTGTAGCACCAATGTTGCGTCACTCAGTTTGATGATGGTGGTTGAGAGATAATTCTTTATTGATGTGACCTTTTTGATAATTCATTACATAAAGCAGTCTTCTCCATTTTTGTATCATCTCTCCGGGCCGGCACGTTTCTTAGTTGTCGTAGGACTTTCGAACAACTATCATCTCTTCATTGTGATTTAGGGTTTCGTTAACAGTTTTTGTTCCCGATCTCCTGAGGTGCTTTCTGAGTTTCGCGCTTGGGAACAGTACACTGTCCTCCTCGTAAATAAGCTATGATCACACAGCTTCACATCACGTCAATTCTTAATAGTTCAAACTAGTGAAAATGTTTACAGCCTCTTGTTGCACGAGTGGAAAATTAAATTTGTTGTGAAGGTTAGTCAGATGTATGCATTTTGTAGTTTCGCAACCCACATACACATCCATCTGTTCTGTTTGAGTTCACGATATGCTCACAAAAGTGAAAGTAGTCTAACATGCGTTCAAAATATGGGGATCAAAAGAGTCACATATTTTATCTTTTCAAGAGAGACAGGTCGGTCGTCAGCATCACACATAGGGCTAAGGTCATGATGCTATTGCTCCGTCCCTGTTGACCACAACTAACCTACCAGGACGGTAAAGCTTTCGCTCATAAGCTCCTTTTCTAATGTTTAGTGTATTGCATGGTACAACGACGTTTCTGTGACCATCTCAATCAGCTGATATTAGTCTGATCAAACATCTATTGACTCAGCTGAGGAGAACAGCAGATCAGAGGCAAAAATACGTTGGAGAGTATCTGTTAGAGGTGCCATGCCACCATCAAATGATTCAACGGGTAGTAGATGTAGTCATCAGAAACATTTATTTTTTGTGGGGTCGTCACTTCTTTCTGAGAACCTGTTCAACAGGGCAGTTAACTGTCAACAGCACCCATGGGGCAAAGGGCTACAGCAAAGGTGATGCCAGGGATGTCAGACACTTAGTTAGAACTCTCCAATGTAATTGTTTTTGTTCTGCTCCTATACTCCGTAAGTTATCCAGCCTGGATCCAAACGGTGTAGTCAATTCAGCTGACAAACTTAGAAAGAGAGACATTCCGGTCCCTCTATTGGTTTAACATCGTCGTTGAAGTTGTCAGCGAAGAAGTGTGCATTGATCAGAAATGGCAATATAAATCTCTCCTTTTATCAACATTAAACCCTCAAGAAGTCTGACATAATGCATCCCACTTGTAAAAAGAATCCTTAACAAAATTATGTTCTGAAATTTGTCAAAAAGTAGACCTGGTTCTATGAACTTGACTTCGTAGCCATTACTGTTCAGAGAGGAAAGGTTTCATCCTGATGATATCTATATAGACCTCTAACAGGGATTCAAAGTCAGACTTATCACTCGGTTGTGTTCTATCCTAACCACTGACCATTAATGGGAATTGAAACTGTTCATGTGTGCGTGTATATGTTAATGTTGCCCTTTACTTTGTATTCCTTCGACGCTTTTTCGTTTTATCTCATCTTCTGTCATCGTTCTGTTGTTATCTCCCAGGGTGTTCTGTGCGGATTCGCAAACGAAGAGAGTATTGCGGATGCGAAGGTGAGTTGCGTCAGCTAGCCACTCCTCTCTCTATCCAAGGTGTAAGTTTTACTTGATATCCTAAATAACGCATATCTATTCAGAAGGAGTTATCCTTGACGATTATAGTTTGTTCTGTTGTGTGCGTTTATGCTGTTCGTGTGGATATTACTTCATCCGACGCACGGATGCTGTATCTGATTGACGTCGTGATAGAGTGAAGCGCAGAAAACAAAACCCCATGTCTAGGCAAACAGAACACGAGTTCGGTAATCTGCGTGTACTAGATACGAATGAAAAGGCAATATGTACAACATACCTCAAATTATGAGCAATCCGGCTCAGAAACCAGGCAAGGTAAATCGAAATGACACGGGATACCGAGTTAGGTCACTCGCTAGACATCGTCAGACCATAGAATAAGGAACATCAAGGGAAACAAAATATTGAGAGGGGGAAAATCGACCAACCAGAACCACTCAGTCCCGGGGGTATTGTGTTGGTAATATGGATGAGGATTCGGTAATAGACATGGGTCACCAAGAGCGAACAGAGTTAAGCGATGTCGATAAAACGGTCAAACAAACGGAGAAATCTGTACGACACAATTAGCAATAAATTTGATGCGGAATGAGTAATGTTTACTTGTATAGAAAAATGACGGGGGGGGGAGGGTTGGCACGAGTCACAAGAGCCGACATGGAACAGATTTGCTCGTATCAATATGTCACCAAACGCATCATGCTGTGAAAATCAAATGTATCCTCAAGGCAGTTGTTAGGGGATTAATACATCGGGAATAATGCTCGAATGCTGACAGTTTTTGGAACATGGGTTATATCATATCATATCAAGCTGTATACGAATAAAGTCACAAGTGCTGAACAGATATCAATGTGTCCATTGAAGCGTCTCAAAGGGGTTGAGGTCAAGTCGTT